TTCAGACGCACCCTCCACTGCCTGGCCCCCGTCCATATCCCCGCCGCATCCAGCACCCTCTTGCAGCCCGACAGGACCACACAGTGCTGCCGCAGCCACACCTCCACGTCCTGGTCATGCAACGCTTCATTATAAAGGAACACGGTCACGACCTTCGTCTCCAGGTCCGATAGCAACCGCGTTCTCATAGACGCCAGCGGCTTCTCCCCGCCTTCTCCTCGAAACGGGCAAGGAATTTTTGCAGCAGGATGTTGGTGGTGAAGCTCACATCGAATGCCCTCCCCCCCGGCAGGGCAATCAGGCAGTACAAGTCCTCCACCTCCACCTGCAGCATTCCCAGTACAACCGATCTCACGAAGGTCGTCCTGTCCAGGGTGACCCCCTCTTCCACATCTTCCTTAAACTCGACCCGCACGCAGTTGTGCCTCTTGGCCTGCAACGGGGTCAGGCCCGCCCCAGCTCCACCGCGCCACCTCCCCGCTCCCCCGCCGGGCCTCCCCGCACCCACCGGGCCAACCCCCGCAGTCTTCCCCCTCCACTGCCCCCCCCCCCGACCCCTGGGCTGCGGGCGCCTCTCCCGCCCCTCCCCCTCCGATCAAGGGTACTCCCACCCCCTCCTCCCGGTGCTCCCCCTCGTTCTCCTCCCCGCTCCTCCCTCCCCGCGTTCTCCAACCCCTCCACTCCCCCCACTCTCTTCCCTTGTTGCGCCTCACCCGACGTCACTCCCGCACCAGACGGGCCCGCCCCGCTCCAACGGTCTCTCTCAGCGCCCCGGGCATCTTCCTCAGGCTGCGCCATGCGCCGCATCTCCGTCTCCATCTCCGCGTGTTCGCTGCAGCTGGGTCACTCCTCCCACTGCGCCCGTGACTCACCCACCCTCCGGCAGCAAGGCCACCCCAGACCACCCGGTCTGGGGCCCTCGCACACCCCGGGGTGGCTGGAGAACCCACGGGACACCGACGAGCCTCGACAGTGTATCAGGGAAAACCGGTTCAGGAACACGTTTCGCTGGTGCTTGCGCCCGGCGTCGTCGGGCAATTCGCCAGAATGGTGAGGCTCTCCTGTGTCTCCCGTTCTTATATAGAGCAGCAGCAGGGTGACGTCATCATTAACTCGTTAACTCATCAGGTGCAAGATTCAAGGGGGGAGTGATTGTAATTATATACTAGATTAGTAATCAGGCTATTGTTACGATGCGAGTTGTAGATTAGTAATCATTTGGAATGTGTTTTATTGTGATTATGCTACATTAGTAATCAGTTAGTGGTTGTTTCCCTTATAAGTAATTGTAATGTATCTTATTTAATAATACGCTTCCAGGCCGCACTAAGCCTGTAGCTGTCTGAGCGATTAAAGTTATTTCTGTTTCTCTCAATTTCAATCGATTCTCTAATTAGTCTTTGCCAGTAGTAACTAGTTTTACACAACACTTCCACGTTGTCAAAATCAATTGAGTGTCCCTGTTGGCATGCATGTTCTGCTACTGCCGACAGTTGTGTTTGTGATAGTTTAATATTTCTCTGGTGTTCCTTTAGTCTTACACTAACGTTACGCCCTGTTTGTCCAATATAACATCTGCCACATACACAATTAATCCGATATACACCTTCTGTTGATAATTTAGGTAATTCGTCTTTAGTGCACGTTACTAGTTGTTGAATTTTGTGTACTGTACCAAATCTTACTGTAATGTTTTGCTTTTGCAAAACACGGGCTAATTTATCAGTTACTCCTGAGATAAATGGTATTTTTATTGTTTTAATAATCTGATCGCTTTCAGCAGTGTTGCTTTGCGATCGTGATTTGGCTTTTAGTGCTCTGTTAATTTGAGCATTATTGTAGCCATTCTGTCTTAGTGCTTCTTTAACATGTTTAATCTCTCTCACTAGACTTTCACCATCTGACACTGTTTTAGCCCGATGTATGAGCGTCTTGATAAGAGAGGATTTCTGAGCTGGGTGATGATGCGAATCTGCATTCAGATAGGCATCAGTGTGCGTTGGCTTTCTGTAAACGCTGTGTGTTATTTTACCGTTTTCGAAGGTAATACCAAACGCAGTTAAAATAACACATCACATAAAGTCTTCTAAGGCTAACAAAATACTACACAAAGCTAGCGAATTATTATTAATAGAAAGAATACAACACAACAGGAGTGAATTATCCAACATTTCTGAATCGCTAAGCATTTACATTTAATATAAGCAATAGTGTGTCCATGCATGATTGGAATATAATCGATACTATAACACAACAATCGGCTGATAATGTGTTTAATCTAACAAATGCTAACCAAATTAACAAATTTTCTAGACTTTACAATAAACAAATCCCTATTAAAAACGAACAATTTGAAAACAAAACCGTAATGAACTTGACTAACACTGATTTAACCACTGACATGATTTCTGTCCTTTCTAAGGCCTTAACTTTGCCGTTACCCCACGCACAATTCCAGTGGATGAGATAATTGCTGAGGTAGAATCAGCAGTAAGACTCCTTCCACATAATGAGGCAGAGATGACTAGACACGAGGTTGCCAAAATTATTGAGAATAGTAAAGTACCTAAAGTAAATATTAGCTCGAACGAGGCAAAAGCCTTAAGAGAGCTTCGTCTAAACAAAGATATTCAAATCCTAGCAGCTGACAAGGGCCGCACTACAGTAGTGATGTCACGAAGCGATTATGATAATAAAATTAAAGATTTATTAGAGGAAAGTACCTACATTAAAATTAAACGAGATCCAACTAATACTTTGGAACGTAAGACTACTGCAATCATTGCAAATTCATTAATCCCAAAAAATGAGCAATTCCTAATGAAGCCAAGGGCTTCAAAACCACCTAGACTGTATGGGCTACCAAGATCCATAAAGTCGGCATCCCTTTACGACCTATAGTCAGTACAATTGGCTCTGCCACCTATAAATTAGCAAAATATGTAACTAAACAAATTCAGCCTTACATCGGTAGGACATCATCATTCATAAGAAATTCAGAACATCTTGTGAATATGATCAAAGATATTAAACTTAACCCTAATGATATTTTGGTGAGTTTTGATGTGATTTCGCTATTCACTAAGGTTCCAGTGAGCGAGTCGCTTAAATTACTTGATACACTGGTAAAGAATACAGGTTTAGCAAAAGATATTCCGAAACTCGCAGACCATGTCTAAATAACACTTACTTCTTATGGAGAGGCGAATTCTTTAAACAAAGGGAGGGAGCAGCAATGGGCTCTCCTTTATCTCCTGCTATAGCAAATTTGTACATGGAAAACTTTGAAACCAGAGCACTTGCCTCGAGCACATTAAAACCATCCTTTTGGTTTAGATATGTGGATGACACTTTGGTTGTCTGGCCACATGGTAAAGATACACTTAACGATTTTCTAAATCATCTCAATGCACAAAACCCGGCCATTCAGTTCACCATGGAAATGGAGGTGAATAACACACTCCCGTTCCTGGATATTTTACTTGGGCATGGCCCAAACGGTAAAATAACACACAGCGTTTACAGAAAGCCAACGCACACTGATGCCTATCTGAATGCAGATTCGCATCATCACCCAGCTCAGAAATCCTCTCTTATCAAGACGCTCATACATCGGGCTAAAACAGTGTCAGATGGTGAAAGTCTAGTGAGAGAGATTAAACATGTTAAAGAAGCACTAAGACAGAATGGCTACAATAATGCTCAAATTAACAGAGCACTAAAAGCCAAATCACGATCGCAAAGCAACACTGCTGAAAGCGATCAGATTATTAAAACAATAAAAATACCATTTATCTCAGGAGTAACTGATAAATTAGCCCGTGTTTTGCAAAAGCAAAACATTACAGTAAGATTTGGTACAGTACACAAAATTCAACAACTAGTAACGTGCACTAAAGACGAATTACCTAAATTATCAACAGAAGGTGTATATCGGATTAATTGTGTATGTGGCAGATGTTATATTGGACAAACAGGGCGTAACGTTAGTGTAAGACTAAAAGAACACCAGAGAAATATTAAACTATCACAAACACAACTGTCGGCAGTAGCAGAACATGCATGCCAACAGGGACACTCAATTGATTTTGACAACGTGGAAGTGTTGTGTAAAACTAGTTACTACTGGCAAAGACTAATTAGAGAATCGATTGAAATTGAGAGAAACAGAAATAACTTAATCGCTCAGACAGCTACAGGCTTAGTGCGGCCTGGAAGCGTATTATTAAATAAGATACATTACAATTACTTATAAGGGAAACAACCACTAACTGATTACTAATGTAGCATAATCACAATAAAACACATTCCAAATGATTACTAATCTACAACTCGCATCGTAACAATAGCCTGATTACTAATCTAGTATATAATTACAATCACTCCCCCCTTGAATCTTTGCACCTGATGAGTTAACGAGTTAATGATGACGTCACCCTGCTGCTGCTCTATATAAGAACGGGAGACACAGGAGAGCCTCACCATTCTGGCGAATTGCCCGATGATGCTGGTTGCAATTACCAGCGAAACGTCGTACTCAAATTGTAAATGTTGTTGCTTCAACACACCGGTGGGCTAAAGCAGTGAACTATTTGTCTTTGTCAACGTGACACATTTTTACTGATTGGCCGTGTCGGGTGGTGGAGGGTCACGACACATTTATAAATAAACGCGATCTAAACCCAAAAATCGTTGATTATGAATAACATTGGTCGCGAAGCCTACGTGTTAAATATTCAATCCCACCCCCTCCGCCGCGATTTTGACTGGCAGTTCATTAACATAATTGATTCAGGATTACCGTCGCGAGTTTATTGCGACGGGTTCAGCAGCCAAGCCCAATCACCCCACGTGGGCCCGGCTCATTAACATAATTTATTCAATTTCACCGCTGATCGTTGGGGGAGGGGATTGTGTGGTGAACCCCGCTAGTGACGTCATATCACCTCCTGCTGCCGCGTGACGTCACGATGTATCCGGAAGCTGCTGCACCGCGCGCGCGCTCACTGAGATCCGAGGTGAGAAGTTCACATCGTGGTGGTTGTTGTTGTGGTGGTTTGTTGTTGTGGTGGTTGTTGTTGTTGTTGTTGTTTACCCAGGTAGAGCCTCGCTCCGTCTCTCGTAGGGATATCAATTGAGTAGCAGCGAGGATGGAATCGATGTCCAGGTTGGAACATTACAACGCGGGGCCTATCCATGCTGGGCCTTGCCTCCTGCCCTCGCCTGATTGCATTTGCTTTAATTCTCTGCTTAAGTTTAATTTGTCTTCATCTGGCTCACTGTGAAAATGTGTTTCTTTTAAATATTTCTACAGTTGTTTTTATCCTACCTAAGCCAAGCCCACTTCAGCTGCTATACCGCTCTTGTTTTCAGAAGCGACCTTCCCACAACAAAGTGGCTTATCAAACGTGTGGAAATGTTTGTCGGTCAAATACTCTAAACGCGTGGTGATGTTGACTCTTAATGTGGAGAGGAAAACCCGAGGAAATTCCACGCGACCACGGGGAAACTGCAAATATACAGGAGCGTTCTGCTGAGTTGGTTTTGCTGATGCACCCTTTAGACCGATGAACAACTATTTTGATAATTGGTTTTTTATCTGGCAACAAGAGTCTCTCTCTGATGGTGCATTGTCTTTGAGTTGTGCGCCTTTTGGCGTCATCTGGTCCAACACCATGTGAGACTAGGTTCTAAGGAAAGCTATCTCGTGTGTGGACCAATGAACTTCAAGGACAGTGCATACATTATCAAAGTTATCTTTTTTTGTTTTCATTATGACTAGGTATTGTGGTCTATGCAAACATGACTCCTCATAAAAAAGGTGTCAGTTTTGTTGCCAGATAAAAGGGTAAAAAAAAACAATTATCATATTTTTTACTGGCAAATGAGGTTCCAATGGTGTAAACTATTTTTATATTACCAACCAAGGCTCACAGAGCTGTTAGATCTTTTGTCAGAAGCCACCTGGCCATAGATGATAGCTTAACGAAATGGCTTTAAACGTGGAAGATTATAGCAGCCAAATAATCTAAATGCATGTTACTAAATGTGGAGGGAAAAAATCGAAGGACCCTAAGAAAAACAAATAGTGTGAGTGAGTGTACTCATTTGTGTTAGTGTACTCCGCAAGCGTAAACTACGTGCGTGAGTGTACTCTGCGTGTGTGAGATTACCCCGTGTGTGCGAGTGTACTCCGTGTGTTTACTCTGTATTAGAGTACTCTGTGTGAGAGTACTTTACTGTGTGTGAGTGTACCCCGTGTGTGTTGTGTGGGGAGCGGCCGTGTTGTGCGGTGACGTCACCCTCAGAGTCGGCTCCCCCCCCCCCCTTTGTCTGGCGGGTGACGTCACCAAGAGCAGACCGGGGAGAGGAGTTGGGGACAGCAGCTGAGAGGTGCGCTTGGGGCGAGTGCTTGAGAGTGAGTCACGCATGTAGAGTGTGTACAGGGAGAGGGAGTCGGTGTGTTCATTGTAATGTGTGTGTGTGTGATGTATTGTGCTGTGGTGGCGAGATGTTAACTACCTCACATGGTATGTAGGATGTCGTGGGTTTGAGTCCAACGCTGACGCATTTATAATTGGTTTAATTTTTTTTCTTTTCTTTCTCTCCCTGTAGTGGCATTGATTTTTCTCCACATTTAGAAACATGCATTTTGAGAATTTGGCTGCAAAACATTTCCATATTATAAGCCACCTAAGTTGAGCTATCATTTGTGTCCAGGTCGATTCTGAAAAAGAACTATGCAGCTCAGTGGGCCTCACCTGGTAAAATAAAATAGCGTACTGTGTTTGAGGGTTTTCCAATTTAATTTCTTACTTAGCAGTTAAAAATTATGTTTCAGGAGGGTCCTGCATTGGAATGTTTGACCACCACCAAATATATTTTGAGTTTAGGTTTGGGAGAAAAACGGAAAAGCCAGTGGAACACCAATGCCGACGGTGACGGCCGACGCCAGGATAGCAGCCACGGGCTTGAAGCGAGGGCAACCCGGCTCTTGTCCCAAGAAAGGAATCCGCTCCCCGCTGCCCTCCACGGTGGCTGCACGCTGAGCCCCAACTTTCCCAGGAGGTCGGTACCTGCAATACACTCGTGGCATAACACGCTCGACACGTATAACTCCTGGTTACACACCTGGTGTCCGAGGCGACCCTTAAGGGTGACCCTCCCCAGCAGTCCCATCCCACTTCCACTTGCAGTGTGCAGCGCACGATCCGGGGCCTGTAGGCGGCCCACGTCAACCCCAACCACGCTGCCGTGTGTTGCACTCACGAGTGACGTTACTGCCCCCGTGTCCAGCAGAATCTGGGTACGCCACCTGTTCACCTGCCCTTCCACGAGCGACGTGACCCCCATTATTCCTGCCACCAGCTCCCGCAGCCAGTCACCCGCAGTCGCCGCATTCTGGGGTGTTGTTGTCGGCATCTGCGTGGGGGTCATTCGCTCACCATTATCACGACAGTTTATTTGTGTTGGGGCCACGTCAATTGCAACCCCTCCGTGGTCAACCTCTTTATGGAGGCCTTGGTTTCGATTTAAAGCTTTCGTGACTGCAGGGATTCATCTTCTTGGTTCTTTCGGTAAAGTCACGTAGAAGGGAAGTAATAAAATAATAAAAATAAAACATAATAAAATAATTCTCACGACGTTTCGGCCACAACGCAAGCTGAGCAACTAACAGTAAGTAATACATTACAATTCTATGTCGCAAAAAATATAATATGCTTCCAGCTAAACTTTTTTCCTTACATCAAACAGGTCTAACCCGTACTATATGCTGCCATAGACAAACCCAACATTAAATTACATACTGTATTACTATACACCACCTTATACATTGTTATATTACACTATGTATTATTCTACCCACCCTAATGTATATCACACTGCTATATATTCACTATACAATTACGATACTATATATTACCTTGTACATTGTACATTGTATTAAGCATATAAATGTTATGCAGGGAATGGATTCTTTGCTCTGCTACTCTCCCATTATCATATTTCGTTGCTGCCTCTTAGTATCTTTCACACGACGGTCAATGGTACAGTGTATAATAACAAATAGCATAACATTTATATGCTAATACAATGTACAAAGTAATATATAGTATCGTAATTGTATAGTGAATATATAGCAGTGTGATATACATTAGGGTGGGTAGAATAATACATAGTGTAATATAACAATGTATAAGGTATAGGGTGGTGTATAGTAATACAGTATATAATTTAATGTTGGGTTTGTCTATGGCAGCATATAGTACGGGTCAGACCTGTTTGATGTAAGGGAAAAAGTTTAGCTGGAAGCATATTTTTTTGCGACATAGAATTGTAATGGATTACTTACTGTTAGTAGCTCAGCTTATTAGAGAGGATATTTAGTATACTGATGATACTATGAAGTTTATACTTTAGTTTTTTACGTGGTTGTTTGGTTGCTGCAGCTGCATACTATTCACATTCCTTCCCTTTGTTGGTGCTGCCCCTGCCCCCTCCCTTTGATGCTGTTAATCCTGCATAATGCATGGGCATAATATGACTTTGAAAACCCCCCGCCCACCTCCCACGCATTTCACAATTAGCACTTCGCATTCCTGAATTTCCCATAAATATGCTAAATTCCTCTTCAAATGCAAATTCTTTTGTCAAGGCTCTCTTCCTCCTCCTTCACAGCTTAAATAGACACTTCAAGCCTAAGACGTGTCATTTAGACTCTGTCTTATCGACAGACATGTTCTTCACCTGAGGACGGCTGCTTGCGTTGTGGCCGAAACGTCGTGTGAGAATTATTTTATTATGTTTTATTTTTATTATTTTATTACTTCCCTTCTACGTGACTTTACCGAAAGAACCAAGAAGAGGAGGCCTTGGTGTTTAACCCTGGTGCTTCTCTCGCACGGGCGATCTGGTGACAGTCTCTCACGAGATGCCCCCATTGGTCGCATAGATAGCACGCACGGGGAAGGGCGGTGGCTCCATAAGAGGCCCCTTGCCTACTTCCCCTTACCCTCCCAGTGCGCATTTGTTCGAGTTCTGCCTCTTATTGAGACACTCGCCTGGTTAGCCCCCCGACCATGGAGCGTAGCCCTCCCACCTCGGACTGGACTATCTCCGCTGTAGACTGCAGCTTGGTCACATTCAGGTGTACTTGGGTTACCTCCTCGCGTACTTGGGTCACATGGCCTGCGTTATCTCCTATACCGGTCTGTATCCCTGCCACCCATCCTGGGGTTGTCTCACGGGGTCCCGGAGGCTCCCTCGTCCCCCCCCCTCACCTCCTCCTCTGGAAGAAGACTTGCAATGGTGCTATCCCGTCCCAGCCGTCGGAATTCCGCACGCTCGCTAGCAAATCTCTCACACACACGTGCGCGTGCTCGGCAAGGGTGCTAAATGGGGGATATGGGCAGTTCGCATCTGGCTGACACCCCGTTGTGCTTGTCAGATGCTGCTGAACTTTCTCGGCGGCAAGGTCATCGATGATCTCGGCAGTGTATCCCGGGCATGCGCTCTGTGTTAGCAAACGTGATTTATTTTCAATGCGCGCTCACTGAGATCCGAAGTGAGAAGTTCACATCGTTGTCGTGGTGGTAGTTGTTGTTTACCCAGGTAGAGCCTCGCTCCTTCTCTGTCTTGTAGGGAGGCCGCTTTGGATTGCACCACTTTTCGATTTCACATTAACATGCTAATTTATTACGTTAACATCACTTGCCCCGGCCACTTCTTTATGACCCTTGGGCTACACCCATTTCAAACCTTCTAAAACAGTCTGCCTCAGCAGCAGACCATGCATTTTCTATCAGAGTGTTTTTGTTTGCATTCTGACCACAAGTATTGTGGTTAATGCACACATGATTCCTTGTTAAAGGTTTCAGTTTGGTGTTTTAACATCTTAACACCTGTTTTGTTGCCAGAAAAACGGGGAAAACCTATTCTCATATTTTAGTACTGGAAAAGGTTCCATGATGAAATATTACAGTATATTATAGGTGAGCCGTGCGTGTGCAGAGAGGACAATAAGGACCTGGAAGTTAATTAATTTTGTGGCAAAAATGCAGGCCTGATAATATGTAAGGATAATGTGGTAAATGAGAAAAAATATAGCAGCGGCGGGGTGTTGGAGTGTGCAGGTGTTACAGGTGTTGATGATGAACAGGTAAGCTAAAAATTGTGTGAAAAACATAACTTACCCTTGAGTACGCATGGAATTTTTGATGTGTGTTTGTTTCATAGTGTTGGCGCAATTTGGTTCTCAAAAAAACACAAAGTCTGCTTTATTTATATACATTTAAACTCATCTTGGAATGTTTTGTATACGGTTTCTCCACATTTATTTCAGTAATTTAGTTTATTGGGAATACAGTACAGTACTTATTTCAATTGTAATGTATATTTTATATGCCGTTTACCTAACCCCATTATTTAGGTCAGGCTTAAATGTTAAATATCGGCATTTTAGCTTTCGCACGGCACTTTCCAAGAATGTAACCTCCGCGCTATTCAAGGGGCTGCTGTATTTTTTGTCCATCAGCTATAGTACAGGAGTACGGATTTTCAGCAGAAACTAGATCTCTGCTTTCTTGGTGTAATTACAGCCTATAGTACCATACAGAGGCTTGGGGTTTTGGTTTGTTTTTGGTTTTCGATGTCTCTGCCTCTTCTCACAATCGTTGAGGATTTTTATGATTTTGGCTGGCCCATCTAAAGTTGCGTGACCAGGAGTCGGATCCCTTTCTTGTTCAATTTGGCTTGTGGCCGAAATTCCCTCTAGCCGCATGCATTACATTACGTAGCATTTGCATATAGTTGTGTTTTGAGAAGCTCACAACGACCCTATAAAAAATGCATTTGATACAGTAACAATGATACGCTAATCAATGTCTGTTATAGTCAAGGGATTTTCCCCTGCTGGTCAACCATGTTATGCATGTTGATGATCTGGTCATGGCTACTCAATGATATTGAGTTGGAGAATCGTGTTCTGTACCTGGAGAATTCCATGACGAAATGGGGCCTTGCATATGTTCTACAAAAAGATCACCTCCCTGGGAAAAATCTTGACCTAAAGCTTTCGTAACTGCAGGAATTAATATTCTTTGGGTCTTTCGGTTAAGTGACGTGACTTTACCGAAAGACCCAAAGAACACCTCCCTGGGAATTTAATGTCATACAGCACTGCACCTGCTCAGCTCTCCATGAATAATCAGGTTGTTCTACACGTGGTGGAGGAGCTCCTATACCTGGTTAATGTGTTCATGACCAGCTTTGGTTTGGCATCCAAGTCTCACTTCAAATTGGTCTAGCAGCATTCTTTCATTAGGCTCTGTAACACTATGTGGAAGCTGCCTGGACTTTTTTTACATACAAAGCTGTGAGTGTCCATCACCAAGGTCTAGTCCATTGCAAAGGTCTCGTCAAAAAACAGGCAATAGTCTACATTATAGACTGCCAATACACTCACCGAGGTTAAGAACCAGGCTACAGTCTACATTATAGACTGCCAGTACGCTCACCCAGAGGCGTAGCTAGGGGGGGGCAGGGGGGTACATATGTCCCCGGGCGCCAAGGTAAAGGGGCGCCTAAATGAGGCTTACAACGTTACATTATCACTTAATGCGGCGGGCGCGGCAGCCTGAAACTACTGCGCAAATCTACACCTCAACCTAAAAGTTTATATATCCCGCCACACACAGCCTACATTGCATGTAATTACATTTTCTCAGGTCATAAGATTTGTGGATGTGGATTTTCAAACTAAAAAAGTAACTATCAAAAAATCATTTTTAGGTTATATCGAGATACATGAAAAAGATGCAGCAAGCCTAGAAAGAGTCATCGTCGAGATACTGAAATTTGACAACATACCTCTAGCCGACTATCGGGCACAATGTTATCACAATGCTGCTGTGATGACTGGGCATATATCCGGCCTTCAACAACGAATATGTGACAAAAATCACAGAGCATTGTTTGTCAACTGTGACAACCACAGCTTAAACTTAGCAGGAGTACACTCAGCTAAACAGGATCCACTTGTCGTCACGTTTTTTGGAACAGTTGAAAGTATATATTTTTCTCTCGTTCAACAATTCATTGGGAAGAGTTAAAAAAAGCTGTGCCCATCACAGTAAAGCGGGAGTCTGAAACACGCTGGAGTGCATGATCAGAAGCTGTTAAAGCTCTCTATGATGGAATGGATGAACTAGTAGGGCTGCTAGACAAATTGTCGGAGGACGTAACTATGACGCCTGAAACCAGAAGTGATGCAGAACAGTTACAGGCATGCGTATTAAATTTTTGCTTCATAGTTTTATTACATTTCTGGAATGTCATTCTTGGAAAATGTAAGCGCTTACAGGGTCCTACTATGAATTTCAAGGAAGCAGCAACTGATCTTGAATCTTTGGAGCATGAATTTGTCCAGCTTCGTGATGATTTGAGCCAAGTTGCTGTAAAAAACGCCAAAACAAGATGCACAGCCTGGGGGATCGATGTGGACAGAAGAATTAGGTGACGTCGGAAGATGCCGGGAGAACTGGCACAGATGTCGATGCAATTCGTCGAAATTGCACAGATTTTGGAAATTTCTATGACACCGACAGATTGCAAAATGCTGCTCGGTAACCGGAATTAAGTTCTACCAGAAACTCCTTTGGATCTTCTTGGTTTTATTGTGTTTTATGGAGACGACATATTTGCGAATTTCACTACAAATTTTATTAACAGTAGCAGTTTCAATTGCAAGCTGTGAGCGGTCGTTCAGCAAATTGAAACTTATTTTGTCGTATTTGCGTGCTTCAATGGGACAAGATCGTCTCAGCGATCTTGCTCTTCTTAGCGTTGAAAGAAAAACATTGGAAAAAACATATTTTGATTACGTGATTGACCAGTTTGCGACAGTGAAATCAAGAAAAAATAATCTTTTGTAGACTATGTCAACCAGTCTACGACAGTGACTGAGTGAGCCATGTAATATAATTTCTATAAATTTGCTTCTTTATATACAATGTTTCATTAAAATTGTTATTCCTTATTCGATGTAATAGGAAAATGTGATTAAACGGGGGGGGGGGGGGGGGCGCCAATTTTATAGTTCGTCCCTGGGCGCAAAATATCCTAGCTCTGCGCTCACCGAGGTTAAGAACCAGGCTACAGTCTACATTAGTCGTTTTTTTTCTTCTATTCACTTTATTTGTATTATTATTTTCTATCTACTTGACTTTACCGAAATAACCAAAGAATATTAATTCCTGCAGTCACGAAAGTTTTAAGTCAAAATTTAACCACCTTTTTACCATGCAAGTGTATGAACATGTGAAGTTTGTATTTGCTGTCAAGTATATTGACTCGATTGAACATGGAGGTTAAATCATAAATATAGTTTATTTTAGTTTTGCTTTGGAAATTTTCATAAGAATGGAAACAGTCAGGAAATTAACACAGCACATATGCAGCTGAAGTTAAATCTGTTCATCCTCGCATTCAAGCTAATCTGAGCCTGGCTTCACACCTCTAAGTTGCAAATGAACATTAATTTATACATTTCTGCATAATACAAATAGTATTCTTTTCAAAAGCCTTTGCTAGGTTAATTTTTTCTTAAATATTCCTGTCGTAGCTAGACAACCGAAATTGTGTGCTTGGAGTTTTTGGTAAACATTAATTTTGAAGACACTAGGGTGTCCAGGCATATTTATGACCATTTGCCCTCGCATTGTGTGCCTTAACAGCCGTGTGATGAATTGGGGAATCTCTTTCACTATATCATAAAAATATGAATATGTATAGATGTGTAAGTCATGTGTGACTGTGTATATATGCATTCCTCTGTGCCTCAATACTCACATAGATGGTGTGGACATGCTTTTCTGTTTGCAGCTGACGCTCTCTCTGCAGAATTGGCCTGATGGAGCAAAGGCACTCAGCGCAGTTCAGTACAAGAAGGAAACAATGCGACCAGCATGCAAACAGCACGGATTGTACTGGAAACTTGACACAGCACCAGAGAACACACACAGGAGAGAAACCTTTCAAGTGCACTGTGTGTGAGAAGGCGTTTGCAAAGTCATCAAATCTTAAGACCCACCAGAGAACACACACAGGAAAGAAACCTTTTAAGTGCAGTGTGTGTGGGAAGGCGTTTGCAAAGTCATCAATTCTTAAATCACACCAGAGAACACACACAGGAGAGAAACCTTTCAAGTGCACTGTGTGAGAAGGCGTTTGCACGGTCATCCATTCTTAAATCACACCAGAGAACACACAAAGGAGAGAAACATTTTAAGTGCACTGTGTGTGAGAAGGCGTTTGCACGGTCATACATTCTTAAATCACACCAGAGAAGACACACAGGAGAGAAACCTTTCAAGTGCGCTGTGTGTGAGAAGGCGTTTGCACTGTCATGCATTCTTAAATCACACCAGAGAACACACACAGGAGATAAACCTTTCAAGTGCACTGTGTGTGAGAAGGCGTTTGCACAGTCACCACATCTTCAAAGACACCAGAGAACACACACAGGAGAGAAACATTTCAAGTGCATTGTGTGTGGGAAGGCGTTTGCACAGTCATCACATCTTCAAAGACACCAGCGAACACACACAGGAGATAACCCCTTCAAGTGCAGTGTGTGTGGGAAGGCATTTTTTTATTCATCTACTCTTAAACAACACCAGAGAACACACACAGGAAAGAAACCTTTTAAGTGCACTCTGTGTGGGAAGGCGTTTGCAATGTCATCAAATCTTAAGACCCACCAGAGAATACACACAGGAGATAAACCCTTCAAGTGCAGTGTGTGTGAGAAGGCGTTTTCAGATTCATCTGCTCTTCGACGACACCAGAGAACACACACAGGAGAGAAACTCTTCAAGTGCAGTGTTTGTGGGAAAGCGTTTGCACATTCATCAAATCTTAAAAAACACCAGAGAACACGCACGCATCAGAAAATCCACAAGAAGTGTAATCTGAAATCAGCTTGTGAAAGCCAAAGTGCTGCATGACCCCATTGTTCATGAAACAAGAACCAGAAGACAATCCCAGCCTGGACACTTTGAAAGGTATCAAGGTGAAATATGAACAGAGGCGAAAGTGAATGTGAAGAAGTAACAGTGAAGAGCGTAGAAGGAAGGTTAAATTTGAAGATTATTCAACTCCAAAATCGGACCTTCACATAGATGGAGGCAGTGTGAAACAGGAACTAAATTCTGACTGTGAGGCAGAGCGAGGCAACTCCCAGGAGTTTGTGAGGTGTGGGTGGACTTCTTACACAATACAAAGTCAATGGAGACCAGGTAGATGTGCAAGCTTGAGACAATTAAGCTCCAATGGATGCACCTTTGTCACAGGCCTTTCTAATGAATATATGTGAAGTTGAACACCTCAATTTCTAGGTTCAAACTGCAGTGTAAGAGTGGCCAGTATTGTGAACCTGTGGGTTGGGTCGATCTCTAACCAGGAGTCACTCAAGTGTTTTGTATCATATCACATCGTAGACGCTCGATGGGTGCCCATAATGGGCATCTGCCCCTGTGTGCCACAAGGGTGACCGTTCACTGGCCGTATTGTGGATATGAGTCTTGTAAGTCTGGGCGATGATTGATATGCCAGTCGGATTTGAACCTTGAACCTCTGCAACAAATAGAGAATGTACTACTACTTGGCTTCCCTCTATAAGAATGCTGCACATATAGGCCTAATCTTGTCAGAGATCAACTTATAAATACGTTGTAATGTGATGCAGTACTTTCATTATAGTAATAAAAAATGTTGCCAATGTGCCTTTTGATTATTTTGAATCAATTGAAAGAATTTGTGTGTTCTGTACGTACATGCAACATTTTGTGTATTATGTCAAAATGGTCAGGACAAAGTGTCTGTTTTGGTGGTAACCTTTACAAAAGCTCACGTGAGAGCTGTTATTTTTGTGATGCGGGTCAAAGGGTATTTTTGTGAATCGGGAAGCATCTGACTCTGATGCAACTCATTGTCTTTGAAATCGGAAGCATAGTCGGATCATTCATCTAACCTATAAGACTAATTTTTGTCTGTCTGTCTCTGTCCGTCAGTCCGCGTACGCTCGCGGGGGTTATGGCTCTCGGACAGTGGGGTTGTCGAGACGTTTTTGGGGAGGCACGCCCGAGCCCCGCGGTGGGAATAGGCATTTCCGTTTTTCGTCCCAACTTTAAA